GGCCGGTTGCTCCGTCCCGCCCGCCGTTTAAAAACCGCCCTCCCTGAAACCTGGCCCCTATGACTAAAAGCGTTTTGACAGCAGAAAGTTTCAACTTTTCTGGAAAGCTAAGGTAGTGCGGACGTCATTACACCCTTTATTTCTAATGAAGCACGTTTAAAAAGCTGTGAAAGGTCTTGCAGAGCCAAAGCTTTTTGTGTCCTCTGCTGTCGTGAGTTTCTTTGTAGAGACTTGCAGGATTTCACCGGGGTTGTTGCATGTCGTTAAAAAGAAAACGTTAAGAAGGCATGGTAATTGACCAGGAAGCGTTACTGCTTCAGATTCTTACAAATCTCACAGGGAAATCGGGTGTTTCCCTTCAAAAAATGTGTCTTGAAATTAGTGAATATTGTAGGAATGAGTAGGAAGCATAATTTTAACTTTTGCTTTGCTTCTACCTTTGAGTCTTTCATTTTTTCTGCACATCAATATGCATATTCTGTCAGAATTCTGCACTGTTGTAAGTTACTAGCTTACAGCAATGTTAAGAAGTACTGAATTTGAGGACTACTCTCCTTGTGTAAGGACTAGCAAGACTGGGACTTTATGAGAGGATAATAAATTACAGGGGTATTAAGTTGTCTGTTCTTAACAGAATGCATAGCATCTTCCAGTTTGCTTCCACTTAAATACTTGCTTTTAAGTCAGAGTACTTATTGAACCTGACATTCAAAGCCATGCATGCAGTGGAATTGTTAACTAAAAATAGAGGAAAATCTCAAAAACACAGTTGGATTCAGCAAAGACACTCAGATGGCATGACCGTTCAATTCTCCACTCAAAGGAGTTATTTTTATGAAGGGAGCATTCATTTCTTAGAACTGACAGTGCGGGAGAAATAATTGAAGTAATAGTAGCTGATATTTTAATTGCTTATCTCTTTATTCTGTGTTTTGTTTAAGCATTCGGTAAAGAAAAAGACAAAGAGAAGAAGTTAGACGATGACAGCACCAGTACCACAGTCCCTCAGTCAGCTTTCTTGGGCCCAACATTATGGGACAAGACACTGCCATACGATGGAGACACTTTCCAGTTGGAATACATGGACCTGGAAGAATTCCTCTCAGAAAATGGCATTCCACCCAGCCCAAACCAGCACGAGCATAGCCCACACCAGTCAGGTCTCCAGCAAGCTACCTCAGCATCACCTTCTGTCATGGACCTCAGCAGCAGGGCTTCTACTTCAGTCCATCCAGGCATGGTGTCGCAGAACTGCATGCAGAGCCCGGTCAGACCAGGTAAATCAGACTTAAGAACTTCCTATGGATTTTGGTATGAGCCTCCTCCCCACTGTAAATCACTGCTTCTCCCTGTGTGGCTGATAGGCAGCTTAGAGAGGGCTGATAGGATTCAAATCACTCACACTCCAAAAAATAAAAATAATTAGTTATTGTGAAGTTGCTCCACAGGGATTTTTTGCTTAAATTTTGTAAGGAAGCTGTGGAAATTCCAAAGAAACTTGTCTTCTTTTCTTCATCAATAACCTAGCTATTAGCACGCAAAAGAATCACAAACAGAACGGTGGTGCGTAGATGCTATGGTGTTAAACAAACAGGCAGAAAGACTGTGAAAAAGAATATTCCCTTGACCAATATTTGATGTGAAAACACAGGAGTGGGCAACTGTTTTTCACTTAAAAGACAGTACTTCCTGTTTGAAATGTTGGCCATAACGTTATTCTTTATTGAGCAGAGTAAAATTTGCCACAGTACGTGGAGCAGGAACTAGATTTTGGAACTGCATTATAATCTTGCTTAAATTAGCATTAACTGAGTGTAACTCTGACCTGAGTTGATAAATTACATCCATAGTCACTTTAAACTGTAGGCAAAGAAAACATCACGGAGTCTGATTTCTGACTGTAATGCATTATTTAAACCCATTTGATGTCAGTGGAAGTCTTCTATTAGTTTATTAACACTTGAAATAATCCCTTTAGAGACACTAGTATAAATCCAGAATAACTGCTCTGTCTTGACACCAGTATGGCTGAGATCATGATCAGTGAAACTATGTCAACACTGAATTCTGGAAAACATGGTGCTTTGCCTTTTTTCCTTTAAAAAAATAAAAATAAAAAGACCAAGGCTGACATTTATTGTGCTCTTCTGCTCGCACAAGGTTTGCTAAAGCAAAGTGTGCTCTTGGGAGCAGGAAACCACTCCTCTCCCTTCTGCTTGATCATTTGCCATGCTCAGCGTGCGAAGTCATTGTCAGAATCATCTGATAAGGAGGCAAAATAAATAAATAGAAGGACAAAAGTTGCAGAGCAGGATGAAATAGAAAAGTCTTACAAATCTGCAATGTTCCTTTCTCATTAAAAAGAAATAAAACACCCCCCAAAATACCCCAAACCTGTCAACAAACTCCTTGGCCCCAAGTCAGAAGTGTGTGTTTAGTAATGGATTTCATTTACTTACTTTTACTTTATGTGGGTTTGTTGTTTTGTATTTCAGTTTCAAGGTATTTCATAGTTAACTAATAACTTAAAAGGGTTTCCAAAGTTAAAATATATTTGGAGGTTGCAAGAACAGAATATAAAAAACCCTTGCTTTTTCTGAGCCGGTTTTTAAAAATAGTGTGTATATGCTACACCATTTTCTGTTGCATATGCGCACATAAAATTAAAAGCAGATAATCTGTCCTCTTTTTTTTTTTTTTTTCCTCAGGAACCTGGTTATGAGCCAGGCTTGTAATGATCACCTGTCAGAATTTATCTGTGATCAACTATGAACTGTCCACATGATTTTTCAACTTATTGATTTTTTTTTTTTAGTTTTTTTTTTTTAGTTTTTCCTGAGCTGTCTGCAGCTCAGGGTTGCAAACTTTTCTCACTAGAAACTCTGCACACTTTTTACTGTTGTAAAAGAAGCCGTGTCTCTTGGAGTAGGATAAAACATCTAAATTTGCAGGTGTTTTTCCTCTACCCTGTCTTGCCTTTAAAATAATATACATTTTCCCTTAAATGTGTTTTTTAAAAGGGAGCTCATTCAATTTCTGAAACAATTTTTTTTTCTTCCCCCATTACAGCTAGGTACTATGACTTAATTTTAATCTGATTTATCATCAGGTTGTTGAAATCTTTGTGCTGTTTTGCAAAAATCTTGCTTGGACCATCTGTTTTGAAGAGATCATCTTAGAGTTTAGCATTTGAGCAAGCTTAAAATAAGATGGCATATATTTTTAAAAACTGATTCTTAGTAAAAGTAAAAATGAGCTTTTAAGGTTGTCATAAAAGTGCCAAGACAAATGTGATGCTCTGAAATATGTAAGTTAGTCCAGAGGTAAATGTTAAAATCATTATAATGTAGCCTTTTGGTTAATATATCTTAAGACTTTCAAAATACATTTTTTAAACTGTCACATGAAGAAAGGGTTTTTTCAGTTGGTGTGACCTACCATTCCAGTATGCAGGGCTGTTGGGATTTTTATTATTGTAATGGACCTAAGAACATATAGTATAGTTTCAATAAAAATTAATTCCATGTGATCTTACTATTTTTAGGAAAACTGAATTTTTTGGGTGATAGTGATTCTCCTAAAAATGATTCATTATTGTGCCCTCTGCATTTTGTCTTACAATGGAAGCCTGTTTGAGCATGTGGACTCTGGCTGAGGGAAGGGTCAAATCCTGTACTGCTTGTGTCCCTATTTTAAAGTGTGGCGCCGCAGCACTCAGCATCAGCTTATCACGTGCGGTTGGTCAAAACTCCTGTACCTGCAGGTGCTGTGTACGGGGGAGGATGCACACGTGCACGTGGAACACCCAGTGTGACTCGTGCAGGTACGTGGTGTACCTCAGACACAGGGGGTCTATAGGAGTGTGGCACATGAAGATTTAATTTTGTTCGTGTGTTGAAATACAAGCCTTATCTGTCTTTAGAAGCTACTGATATTGCCCAGATACGTTTTTTATACCATCTCTGGAAGAGAGATGGAAATCTGCATTGGCATTCACTGAGAAGTGTCATCATGCTCAGCAAAGATGAGCTTACCCTGACTGTAAAATGACATTACAAAAGTTCTCACTGTTTTTGTTTGGTGTGTTTTGTTTGGTTTTTTTTTATTAAAGGGAAAAAAAATCCCAACAGCAAAAAGATTCCTTTTAAATTTAACTTAATTCTGTATTTCTAGCTCAGATTGTCTGGTAGATGGACACATGTTTAGGCTCACCAGTTTATCTATCTGTTCTCTGGACTAAAGTGAAGAATAGAGCAAGCACCTGCTTTCCCATAAATTTCTGTTCAGGGAATGCATGCACAGTAAATACTGGTTTTCTTTTGAAGAGGAGGTACACAGGGTAATGGCTGTTGCAAGACTGGAATCTGATGTATTTCTTTTTCACAGTACCAATTTTGTTAATAAACAATAGTATTTTGATTTATTTTAGCGTTGCAGGCCACCATTCACTGTAATGTGTCAATGCATTTAAAACTTCTTTCTCTATATTGGATGCTGGTTACTTGGTTGAACTCTAGTCTACCTCAGAAAAACAGGTTATATAAGGCTAGCTTTTAAAGTAACTTGATAACTGCAAATACATTTTTGTGGTTCTTCATCTGTTGCACACCTGGTCTTTTCCCATTTTTTTTGTGGAATGTAAATCTCCATTTAACTGCAGAGTCCTTTAAGGAAATTGGGAATATTTGTAGCTCTTTGTATGTAAAGGGAGGTTCATATTTTGCAGGTAACTAGCTGGTGGTTGCTTTTACCTGGCTCTTTTCCCTGTGTAGCTCTTATTTGGGTGAATGGGGCAGCTACTGTAAGGGGTTTGAATGAGTGAATTAGAGTTCTGAAGCATCAGCTAAATCTAGTGGAAGACCCTAATTAGAAGGATTTGGAGATTTTGCAGTTTAGATCTGAATTTTATGTTTGCCACTAAAACCTTGAATGTAGGGTTCTGTTACGGGGATGCTGCTGATGCAGTGATAGCCCGTGTTTTGTTAGTGCCCTGCTCTGTCAGGATAGGGCTGTCAGAGACTTCGAAAAAACTCTCTCATTTTTCATGTTCCTATGACAGTGGTTTTCAGTCTGTGTTGCTTGGATGGCTGGGTGCTTCAGATTGCTTGCAAAGGATCTGTCAAAGATTATTGAAGAAAAGAAGAAAACCAAGCTTTGTAATCTGCTGCAGAAATACACCTGTGTGCAGTATCTGCAAGTCTTCACTTTCAGTTTAAACCCCCCCCCCCCTAAATTTTAGGGGTACATTAATCAAAAAGCTGAAAATGGTTTCTGTGTGAAGTGTACTTAAAGCTCCCACCTCCCCCAAGAACACAAAGATTTTATTAAATGCCATGTTTTATTTATTCAACTGAGATATTTCATGTGGAGTGCAGTATCCATTACCTTTTACTTCTTACATAGGTACTGGACTGTAATGATTGACGCTAGGCGTGATTGGGTGGGTTTTGGCATTTTCCTTTGATGACTCTTTGTGATGGGCACAGCAGCCAGCTGGGAGAAGGTTGTTCTTGCTCCATCCAGCCTCTCAGCTGCATACTGGGGATGACTTGGTGAAGGGGGCAGCCCACAAAAGGGTGTGTGCAACACTCCCTTTATTGCAGTTTTCCTTTCCCAGTGTTTCTTAATGTGACCTCCTCTTCCAGCACAGCCTTTGTAGTGTGAAGGGCAGCATTCCCAGCAGCCAGGTTGTATGTGGAATCCTCTCCTAAGCTTTAATCATTGTTTACAAGCAATTAGTAGGTGTTGCATGAGCCACAGCAGGAGCCCCCTCTCTTAGTCGAAGGACTCTACCTCCAGCACCAAGAGGAGCTGGGAGTTTCCTGACCTTTGGTCTCCCACGTGACAACATGGGAATGACCAGCTAAACCATCAGGCAGGCTGCTACCCAGAGCTGCTCTTCACATTGACTCTCACGTGAGGCTCTGGATGGCTGTTGCCTGCATGACCATGTGCATTAGGCACGTGGCAGTCCCCTGTGCAGCCTGCTCAGCATGGCTTTTGCTAGAGCAGCAGGCACGCACGCAGGGCTGTGTGCTCCTGCCATTGCCAGCCGATGCCGAAATCCCAGTGAAACGGAAAAGCTTCGCCCTGGACTGCCACAGCAAGGGAAATGCCATATACAGACGAGCCTCACAAAACTGCTTCTGGATCAAAGGAAGATGCAAAATATATTCAGGCAAATATTAAAAATAGCCTGTCACATGATAGCAGGGAAAAAAGTGCTGAACGCACAAGCCTTGTTAATGCTAGAAGCAAGAACACTGTGTCTTCTTCA